TTAATTTCCAACCCCCGAGTCGACGCCCCCTCGAGTTTGTATTTCGATTCGGAAACTCACCACCCCCGACTTCGAAAGGTGGCACCTCAGTGTATCAACACTAGCAGAAGCTGTAGTTTTAACTGTTTATGAGCACTTCTGTCATTAAATGTGTCGTACACATAGTACTGGATTCTAATCACTTCATCTCACACCATCAGGTCAAAGTATCAGCTTGTGTAATATTTTAGTCTTTGCCAAAGTACCTGCTAAACGACCAACATCTCGATCGACCTCTTCTACTCTTTGTGTTTTGTGCTTGTTAGCAAATTCTAGTGCGCTAACATACAAACTTAGAAGATGAATGTGGTGTGTATTATAATGGCTATGAAGGGCAAGTCTATGGCTAAAGAATGCTGACTACAGCAGTGAAAAATAATAGCTTAGTATTAATGTGTGCACGTAGAACACACACACACACACACTCACTGACAGCAGCAGGCATGTGTGAATGTGTGCATACGTTTGTGTGGACGTGTGGAGAGACAGCTAGAATTTCGAAGGTTCTTCGTCCCTTTCCCTTGTCTTCTGGCCACATTCCTCACTAATAAGCAGAGAGAGAAACAGCATTATGCAATTATGGAAGGGACTCAACCTGACCTGATGTACTTGTTAACTATGAGGCAAGAAAAAGACAACACCTACCATGCACACGTATGTACGATTGTTAAATAAAGCACAGGGCCTTAGATGTTGTTTACTCAGTCCTGGGCTTTTAGCTGTCTTCGCGGCCAGCCACCACAACTCACCATACAACAGTAATTTTCCTGACTCACTGAGAAATTAATTTAGTTCACTGATATGATTTTTGCTATCTTATTTGCAGGTTGGGATTTGCAGAGGCGAAACTCGCTGCAGTTTTCCAGAAGCATTTTAAATTTAAGAAGATATCTCTGTCTTTCATGGAAAGCATAATGTGTATTTTTTTGCAACACTGGCATGGAAAAAAAAACAACACACAGAAAGGCTGCATTTTCCATTTTTGCAGAATGAAGCATAAAAGCATAAACAGGGCCCCAGCGGTGGGCCTGTCCATTGTGCAGTCAAATGAGCTCGCAGGATGAGTTTCCTCTCCCAGAAATTGAAGTCATAGCACAGTTCAGCCATGACTGATTCCCTCTGCTCAGGCCCAGTATAGTACACAAAGATTTCTCTCTATCATTCCTTTTACTCTGTTTGTCTCTGCAAGCGTAAAACAAAACATGCCGCCTTTGCTGCTGAAGGGTGGTCATGAGGAAACAGATCCACACAGAGTCGGGACATGTGCCAGAAAGAAAGGTAGGATAAGAAGCCTATTTCACAGAACTCATACCAGATTGGTTGCAATATTTCACCTCTTAACAAACAGGGGTCTGTAAAATGTAGAAAGTCTTTAGAGCAGCATCTGTGGACCAAATTATTAAAAAGGCTGTCTGAGAACATTATCAGTTCATGTCTTGATGCTCTGATTTCCACCAGAGATTTTTTTTTAATATTTTAGTTTTTCGCTTATTGTCAATAGCTAACACTATTTTAAGGTGGACTTTTTTCTTCCAGGGTTTGTTTAGAGAAAGGGATGTGGGGTTTATTTTAAAGAGTCATTGCAACTGGGTTGGCAAAGCAGGAAATTCCCCAGTTCCAGAGAAAGGCTGAGTATGTAAGTCCACAGCAATGTCAAATTTGTGAGAACATCCTCAAATGCTATGATTGGCAACATACAGGAGACTGCAACAACACCAGGGTTGGAAAGCCCCTGACAAGACCCCATGTTACTGGGTTTCAGCCAAAAGCTTCTATATTTAGAGGTTTGGTTGAAGATTAGAGTGAATGACATGTCTGTGATGGTGGTGGGGGTTGGCTCTTACAACTAATGTTTAAAACTAAAAGACTTATTTGAAGATCGAAATGGGTTCAATTTGCCCGATCCCTGGGGCCCTGTCACAGTAATACATGCTACCATGGTCCTCTTTTTTAAAATTAAAATTAATAAATTTGTTGTTTTTAGTTACATCTTATTATCTATCGTACGTCATTCAGGTCAAGAGCTGACCCAAACTTCCTATTTCCTCTTAACGTTCGTCACACGGTGATTCATTTTAAAATGAGAGCAAGACAGTCGTAAACCAGGACATTCCTCATCACATCTGACGAACATGAACAGTTTGATAAATTGTTCTTTTAATAGAAGTCTTTTTTTCCCCCTACGCATTTCAATTAAATCATAAATATCTCAGAACTGTCTTTAAGAGTCAGTGTAATGACAGAGGACATATTGTAGTCGAGAGTCATAATCATAGGCCTTTTCAACAAATTACCATATGAATCTCAAAAAGTGTGCGCTGTTACAATCACGAGAATGAATCAGAATCAGGTCTGAATCTGAAGCGTCATATGATTGGATTAATTGGTCTGAGCGCTGTCTGAATCACAGAGCCAGATGTTTGCAATTTGCAGTTCTCAGTACAGCTGATGTCACAATAAAATCAGAGAAAGTGAAATATATATATATATATATATTTATATGTGAACAGGTTTTTTTACTCATATCCAATTTTTAATCTTTGTCATCAACATGCAGTTTTAAACTTAACAGGTAATTTCTTTCTACCTGTCCTGTACAAACTATATATATCATAGACTGTATATAAAGATGGACGACAATTCTCCACTTTCTCCCAAATAAAGCCAAACTATACCAGGTGTGAATGCGGCCATCTTGCACATTCTTTGCAGTAGAGATACAGATGTTCGACCAATCGTGAGCCTCAGCTTTCACTCATGACATTTCACCTTGTTTATATAGCATCACATAACAAATTAAAGTTAAGAGAAAAACCAACACATGAGCAAATATCAGCGTGATAAAAAAAACCTGAAATGACAGAAAGCTTCTTTGAAAATAATTTTTTTGACATGTACTTTGGTGTTTTATTATGGTCCATGTCCCATCCACTAACATGGAGGAGGCCGAATATATAACCTACACTGCAGCTAGCCACCAGGGGGAGATTGACCTGCTTTGGCTTGTTAAACTGTCCTCATACTTCTTTATACACAGTCATCAAAACACAAATAAAACAAAACAGTGAAGATATTCAAAAGTTCATGTGCTGATATGTTCATACCTGGAAGTTAAGGACCCTCAGGACTGATTCTTCTTCTCTGATCACTTCACCGAGAATCAATGTGGCCGGGAGCTCCCCCTTCCGGACTTTGCAGGCTTGACTAATCGATCACGAACAAAGGCTGAACAGGTAGATCACAGATTACATGTTGTTGTTTAAGGTTTCTAATCCTGTTAATCTATTTTTTAACATTTTAACCTCCTTGCAGAAACTAGGGATTTTGACCTCTTGGATAAGAATTTGTTTTTTCTGAGAGGTTTTACATTTACAGTTATTAATTTATCACTTGTTAATAATAAATTCCATTTTGCCCCAATGACTGTATCTTAATTACTGTTTTGAAATCTGCCAGCCATTCACCAGGAGGAGATCGAGGCGCTTTCGATTCACTTTTGGATGTCATCCATCTGAGCAAAAATATCAGTTTAAAATTAAAAAAATAAATTCAGTTTAATAAGACACAGTTGGAAAGACACAATTTCTGAGAACTACAAAGAGTCAAACAAGTTTACACACATAAGAGGAGAAGACAGCGAGACGTGTTTAAAGCCTGTAGCTCTATGAAAAACCTGTAGTCTGAATAAAAGAAAGCAATAAAATAATATTCTGTTAATAGTAATCGTCTCCTTTCCCTCCTTCCTCTGCTCTGTCTGTGTGACCATCAGCAGCTTTGAGCGTCAAGCTAACGATTTTTATTCACTGCGTTCAATTGCTTAATTCACCTCAGTTCATTTCCTTTACCCAGTAAATAGTTGTATGTAATGCATATTGTCAAATGATTATAAAAGACTGTTGAAAGGATAATAAGGTTCATATTTAGAGATGGAGTTATTGTTTGCTATTACTTGTCACAGAGTAACTCAATAAGGATGTCTCTATGTTTCAAAGTGATTCAATGAGCCAAGCCAGTGTGACAGCATGAACAATACCAGGACCCTGAAACTGAGCCATTATTAAATTAATTATTCATTTTCATGATTTTCTGTGACATGTCAAAGTGTCCTCTGTATGAAAAGGAGGTTAGAGCAGACAGTGAAGTTGTATCAGTGCCCGTTTTCTGTAGATCTGAAATAAAAGAAAAATACTAAATGAATCACTGATAAAGTTTTTAGATCACTTTTAAAGCTCAAGTGTTATCAGTACTGGCTCCTCCATGTGTTTTGACCATTATGGTGAAGCTAATTAGTGGACAATAGAAGATGATGATGATGATGTTTCTAATCCTCTCCCAGGTGTGAATGTTGAAAGTGTGAAACTAGGTGTGAAACAGGATGATGCATGCAAAAGTCTCAGACTCTGCTCATTGGATGCTCTAATCACCCTAGCTCCTTAAAATAACACAGGCCTACATCCACACACTCACACTTGCACAACTCTCATGTCTTATGTGCACACAATCAAACGTCTGACGTCCTTGACAAAATGAGGGACGGGCAAACGACCTTATTGGTTTTTTTCTGCCTTTGAATGTCGTGGAGAGAATCCCCATCAATATCACATGAAGAGACCAATCAACCGTGCCTGATGACCATCTCTGACCAAAGCACCAGAACCGCAGCGCCACGGCTCCAGAGACCCTATTGTCATCCACGAGAGCAATCACATTGTAAATGCACATAATCACCGTCTTAACAAGGTGGTTCTCTTTGACAGGCCCGGCTCAATCTCTTATCTTTGATTTTGTCCTCCTTCCTCAGTAAGTGCATGTTGACAGAGAGATGGAAAAAAGCTTTTAATCTGAATGACATTTCACACATGAGGATAAAATTTGTAATTTTCTCAGAAGACAGTGAATAATGACAAAAGTGTAGAAACATGTTTACTCAAGTAAATTGTTCATGTAAAGCAGCTGTTTGAATAAGAAACACTCCGGCAGTGTTTCATACATGTAAAATGTATATGCAACAGAATGAAATGTACATGTTATTTACAGGAAAAGAAAAGAACCTCATCCTCAGAGACAAGATATGTGAAGGCAGGTGGGGATAATTTAGTCTGTATTCATTACAGTGCTGCTTCTGCTAAAGTGAAGTAAATCCTATATTTAATCATTCTCTGCATTTCATGAGAACATAATCCCTTACAAACAGCGAGAGCACTAAAAGAATGAAGAATAAATTAAAAGCAGTTGCATGTAAAGGTGTTTCTGGTCCATTACTTGTGAATGGTGGTAAATACACATAATCACTATGATTAGCAGCACTAAACTGATTGTGGGGTTACGTCTGACGCCTGGAGGGCAGAGTCAGATCACCAGAGTTCATCTGGTCTCATATTCAATCACACACCCTCTCTCACCTGGATTGTATTATTTTGGTTTTGGTCCTATTCAGTTTGTTTCATTTACCAGAAAAGTCTTTTGAGGAATAATCGTTACGGTGCTCAAACAACCAGGAAGAGGAAGACGTGTCTGACGTCCCCATAACAAAGACAGGAAAACATGACTTATAATATTAAGTATTTGAGGACAATACTATTTACACATTGTAACCTGGATTGGAGTCTGAAAAGCCACAGAAATATCAGTAGAGTAAACTGATCGTCTGGATGCCGAGCTACTGGAGTTATGATCTGTGTTTTAGTGCCATCTAGTGACTGATCTTTAAACATGAACATGATCTCAATAAACCACTGTGATTAATTAATTCTACTTTTATTTGCCATTTTGTTTTATTTTAACTTTAAATCATTATTTCACACTGTCTGCCTGAATCACATTCTATATAATTCAGTTTTGGCTATTTGATGAAGTTATCAGATGTTCACACTGAGTAAAAAAGGTTTATTAATCCAAGGATGCACTGTTAAATCATGTGTAAATGTTATAGATGTTTTGTGCATCATTTTAGAAACATTTCTCCAGAAGTCGTGCGCTGTCTTTGGATTTTCAACACTATTAAAAGCATCAAATTAAAACACAAATCCACTTAATATCATTATTATCATCATTCTTTCAAAAGAAAATAAATATCACAAACAAAGACCCACACACTTTCATATACAATGCACTTCCTCCACTGTTACCTCAGCTTCTTGCACTGGTTGATCACGCACAACACCTGACGCCTACACCTGCATTTGAATCCCTTCAATAAACAGATGGACATGAACGTTGATCCCTACACATGCTACTAGAGTCTCTGACGCACAGCACAGGTGTCACCCACACTTGTATCCTCTCACCCTGACTTTTGTGCCTCCACACAAACCACTCGAGGTCCCATATGCCTACGACACAATCCTAATTGGACTTATGACAAATAGCAACCAAGGCTAATACCCTCAGGAAGTAGCCTCGGCACGTGGTCTGGGGCTTTGATGAGAATCTCCAACTCAATGCAACAGAAACACAAGATGTCATTATAAATTTCAAAGGCCGGCATTCCCCAAAACCCCCAATACACATCACTGGAGAACCCAAAATCACTGACTTGTCCATTCCTTGGCACCAATATCAGCAATACGCTTGAATGGAACATCAATACTCACCAGAATGTCAACAAACACACACAACAGCAGAACATAGTCAATAAATCATCCAAGATTACTGACACTCTCCTCTCATCAGTGGAATCACTATACCACAAATGCACCTCACAAAAAAAACTCTGACCCATCTCACTCTGCCCACCGCCTCTTCCAGCTGCAGCCCTCTAGGAGGCGCTAAAGGTCTCATTAAAACATCCCTGTTAAAAAACAGTTCTCCAAACACATCTGATGAATTTGTCTATATCAGAAATTCTTCATGCTCCGTGTTATTAATTTCTTTCTTATTCCTTATCTTAAAGAGTAAAGGGTTTTCTCATCTCACCGTTTTCTTTCCAATCTCTACACGACACACGTGTGTCAGCGACAGCACAAGATAAGATGACCTGAAGTGCTTTAAGTGCCTCCTCCTCAAAGTGTTGACAATGCATGACTCAGTGTTAGATAATGTGGGACCCAAAATCACTGACGTTTCTTCTTCACTTTGCTCATTTTTGCATCTCGTGTGTGTGATGTGTTGTGAGTCCATCTGCAGGCGTGGTGGTAAATCTCAAAGAGACCAGCATTGACTCTTTTTGACTCGACAGCTGCTCTCTGTGAGTTTCTCTGAGTTAATCTGGTAAATATTGTCTGATGTGCTTGTTGTCGTTTCTTGTGTTCAAAGTGATGCTGCCCACCAGGCTGCACAAGCACTCCTCAGTCGTGTGGTCATTAACAATGATCCTGATTCTCATGCTCGCCCCTCTGCAATTATTCCAAGTCCACCCCTTCAGGTGTTACTCCAGAGAAAAGCCTTGTTCTCCAGCAAACTGGCGAGTTTATAGTTGAAGGGCTGATGAAATTCCTTGAGGAGGTCTCTGGTGGCAGGAAGCATCGGACCCAGGTTCCTGTCTGCTGCCCGCCGAGTGTTGGACATAGGTCGTTTGGTCACTGCTGCCTCCACCTGCTTGGACAGAGGACCTGCGGGGACACGAGCAGATGTCTGAGAAGCTGAAAAAGGTTACAGAGGTGAAAGGTTGAAGCAGAAAGAACCAGATCAAGCAGCCAGGATGATACCATACATGCTCTATTTTCCTAACATGTAAAATATATCAATGTACAAATAAAATGTCAGGAGTCTTTACTTACGCACCTACACTCAGAAAGTCAAAAACTTTCTTGATTGTCACTTTGATATTGGCTGCGTAGTCTTCCAGTCGCAGAACCAGAATCTGCTCCCGATGGAAAACTGTCAGCCAGTCCAGTAAGAAGACGATGTACATCCCCAGATTCAACCTCACCTGTGGGAAGGATGAAGAGAAGCCGACATCATCACAAGGCTTTTGTGGTGAAATGAGTTTGTCAAAGTCGAGAGCAGATGTACAAGTGGTGGAAAAAATTATTCTATACAAGCATAGGTGCTGCACAACTGTATTTTTTGTGTTTTGGTGTGTTGTATCTAATTGTTCTTCTATGGTTCTATTTAATTCAATTTTATTTATACTCTATTTCTTATTAACCTTTATTCATTCTGTGCTTGGGCTGTTTATTATTTCATTTGTTTGTTTAATGGTAAAATTAAGAGCAAGACTCACATGCACATACACTTTAAATCCACAAGGAGGCACCACAGCACAACACCAGTGACACCAGCTTTAACATATTTTCAAACCCTGCATCTGCACCTCATGCAAAACTGAAAAGACTCATAAACAAAGAATCTCAGTTTGTTGTTCTGAATATTTTTTCGTTAGATTTGAGATCGATTATGTTTTCTTTTTTAAACCAGTGGTTTCAGACTGAGGCGACTGCAGCTTTCACTGTAGTAAATCTCCCAGGATAACTGTGCTGTCACCTACATGTGGTGATTACAGGTGACCAACAGACCGAGCTCATAACTCAGTGCCTTGCTGAGGGAGCACTCGCTGCCTGATAGGAAATATACTGAAGGGTCTGAAGTGACTGGTGATTTTTTTTTCTGCAGAGTGGGAAGCACATTACTGCAGTTGGATCACTTTATAACAACTTGGAGAAAAGGTAGAAATGATCGAAATAGAGAAAAGGTGTTTGTTCTTCGGTATAATTGGATGTAATTATACATTTTACTGTAATTATTATTATCAAAGTGGTGCAGTGCCACTTTAGTAGCCTGTGTTGATGCTCAATGAGCTACCTCAAATTATTCCTTATCCTTAGTGAGTCCTCTTCAATTCACTTTTTATATTGTTTATGTGCAGAGCATTTTATAAACAGTCTATGTTTCACAGTGCTGTTATAAAACATTCATCCTACCTGGTTCATCTGCATGAGGTCAATGTTTTTAATAAAATGAAACAGAATTAGCTTCATTACTATGAATGTTGATGCCATGATGGAGATCAGTTGTGAATGTCGGTGTCAGTCCGATATGGTGAAATAAAAATAATCAAATAATCAAAAATATCACCTGTGTTTTAAATATTTCTTAATATTTTATTAACCCAAGTCCAAATCGCACAAAACTTTGCACTGCACTTCCTCAGGAAATCTACAATAGACTTGCAAAAGTGTGAAGCTGATTGAATGAATACTTCTCAGGATATGCCTTCCACATACAGACAGACGGACGTTTTGTGCAATTAGTAGATAAACTGGTATTCAGACAGTTAACAGAGAGAGCAACATGTCAGCTAACCGGCATGGCGTTGGAGAGGCTGGTGTCATAGGCGCAGTAACGTATTGTCCTCTCAGACAGGCAAGAGTGAAACAACTGCACGGACTCCGCAACCTTCAGATGGAAGTCTTCTGCCGATTTGTTGCCCACAGTAAAGTACAGATAGTCAGAATAAAGCCTGGGAACACAGTGAAACAGAGGTGGAGGCCAGTTGGAACTGCAGAGTGACATTTTGCTGGATGTACAACATGAGCTGTGATTTAAAACAAATACGTTCTGAAAAATGATAAATTACTGGAAACCACTCAATGAAGCAACGAAAATAGATTCACTACAGACGCATCACATCTGTATCTATAAAGGCAGATGTGAAGATGGATTTCTCTGCACTACCTCTCCACTGGATCTCTGAGCATGACGAGGATTTTTGCATCAGGCTGGACGGCGTGGATGAAGTCCTGGGCCAGGAACGGAGGCTCAGCATCCTCCCCTTCATGGAGGTTGCTCCAAGCTTGGTTATCCCACATGGTGGATGCACTGGCTTCACCTGTCAAGACATGGACAGTCCTGTCACTTCATTTAAAATGCAACAAAGTGAAGCAGACATTCAGACATAATGTGGCAAACTCAAGCAGAATTTCAAGAGATCCTGTGGAGACCTCATCCTCGAGCAGCTTTGCAACAGCAGCTTCTACTTCAGCAACAAAATCCAGCTACGCAAAATCTTTCTGTTGGCAAAACAAAGATTAAAGATAAAAAATCACTTCAGAAAACCAAGCTAACATCAAAGATTGCTCTTCAAACATGCCTCCAATGTAATTTCTTTATTTCCAAGTTTATTACTGGTCCCTTTCTACGTTTTATAGATACATATTTATCATCACAGATGTGCAACAGCAGAGGTGCATGAGTTTCTGTGTGTACTTTTACTCTTTACTGCTACCACAGAATATCAAGAATAATGTGAATGGTATTTTCCTCTGGCTCCTCAACACAGGAAGCAGCAGTGCTTCTGAGGTCAGAGACAAAATGAGTGACAAAAAAGGAACAGGAGACAAAGGAGACCTGTGATTTGAATCATCGTCTCAATCCAATTTTCCTGGCAGTTCAAAATGTCCTCAGAAAGAAAAGAGCAAATGAAAATTACAAAGGTAAGAGATTCTTCCACCTGAAGCACAATGGATGTTAAAAATACCAACACACACACACACACACACACATACACACACAAACACTTTGACATGTGTTCACCTGTTATGAGCTGGAGCGTGCTGTGGTCTCCAGATGGATTTCCATTGATTCCTGCTTGGATGTTAAGAGCTGCCAAGTCAAACAGATCCAGGTAGTCCTGCACAGGAAAACTTTCCAGGAAGCCAACTTTGGAATGGATATAACCTGCACACAGAGGTACAACAAAATGTATACACTTTGAAATCGAACAATTTTTCTTTCCTGTCATTTGTTTGTCTTTTGACCGTTTCTAAATGACAAAAATTATGTTTAACTATCAGCTGACCTCAGCATCGGCTAACCTGACTTACCGAAGCGTTTCCTGGTCCACCAGTGTGGCTCCTTCATGGTGTTGAACTTGACCTCCGGATGCAGCCGCAGTCTCTGAAACAAGTCGGTCGTGCCACACTTGGGTTGGCCGATGATGTAGAAGTATGGCAAGCAGCGCAGACGTAACACTTTGCCGCCCCTGTGGTACAAGTGTCGGTGGAAGTCAATCTTCAGTTGCTCACACACAGTCTTGAAGCCCTTTGAGCGCAGTGTAAAGAGGTTCCTCCGGTAGGGATCCGTGCCGAGGTCGCCTGAGAACTCCTCGTACCAGCAGGGGCTCTTGATGCTCGGCAGGAAATGGCGAGGAACTACAGAGAACAACTGCAGAGAGGAACACAACAGAATTAGTATCACAGAGCATGGGAAAATAAACTTGGAATAGTGCATCAGGGCTTTGATATATGATATGATGTCTTGCAGATGGAGATATGTTTAATTTTTTGAGACTTGCTCCTACCTAAGACTAGAATGCGAGCCACAATTTTCTATCCCAACCCACTCAAGCTCATAAGAAAATTAAAAGAGCATGAACCAAATAGGCATTTGTGTGTTTTGTGTTTCCAAACCCAGCATGAGCGCGGTGTTTTCCCAAGTAATAGCCATGTGTATTGTAACAAATCAATTAGATATCCCATTCAGTGTGACCAAACCAGACCCGAACATGAATATCATTTCCAAATTTCTGTCCAAAACCAAACTGTGAGTGTGGATACCAGGTTGGGTGTGTAAGGTATTTGTTTGGTTGTTTGTCAGATAGATTATGCAAAAACTATTGATCGAATTTCCACAAACGTTTGTGGAAAGGTGGAGCATTCATTCCTTTTCTTTGACATCGTGAGGGTGGTTTTCAACATTCCCACTGATTTCCATGGAATAATTGATGGATCAGCTTGATTTGAGCCTGTTGGGCCTTGGTGGAGGTACGTGCTCTTCTGAGAGCCACGACACTGTACTGCCTGTGTTTACAAGCTCTTGTGATATAACAATTATAAAAGGAAATCCATTTAGAGACACAACTTGCAGCTGTGTAAATGAACCTTTGTATAAGCTTTACTCTTTCTATAACTGCTCCATGCATCTTGTTGTTTTGACAGTATGTGTAGCACTGACTCACACACGCACTGGAATTCAACCTACTGACTCACTTGTGTTTCTACCTCTGCAATTGTGATGCAGGCACAATCGCTGATGTCTTCTCAACAAACTCTGCAAAATGATTTAGAATGACGAGGATCATTATGATGAGAACATGCGCTAAATGCGGGACAATTGCACTTCATTAGCACGTAGCATCAGCAGTCAGTCTGACACTTAACCTGATATTTACTTAACAACTCTACAAACTTTGGTTCTAAAAACACGGAGTCGAATCAGCACCTCGGACAGACTCAACAAACACTGGTGATTATGAGTTTGAACAAACAGTCATTTGCTGCAGGGCTGATTGTAAAGTGTTTGTTGTTTGTCTCCTACAACTCACATTTGTCCACAAAAAATAAAGCAATCACAGTGGTTGCTTATTATCTTTTTCCAGTGGAAAAACACTATATCATTTCAGTCTGGCACTATAATATAAAAGCCTTTATCATGGTTGGTCTACATGTGTCAGAGCATTTTTCCACACTTACAAGGGACTCGGTTTCAATGACGTCCTTTTCATCAGGCACCTTCCTGGGTGAGTATTCCAGTTTGGAGCTGAGGATCTTCACCAGCAGTTTCATGTCTATTAATGTATTTTCAGAGGAATCTTCCTCTGCTGAGCTGGTCAGGTCGAACACAGGTCTGAGCTGAAAGGGTGTGGGGGTGAACAGAAGTCCCGTCTTGTCCCAGGGCAGAATATAGGAAGCCATGATGAGAAAGGTCAGCGTCAAGCCCAGGAGGAAACTGAGCAGTCTGACTTTGGAGACGCTCCGCATGTTGCTCAGCGATAACAGGGGAGGCCACTTGATGTCCAGATTTTCAGGCTTGTTTGTGTGCCTGAAGTCAAAAAAAGTCCTGATGGGTGTTTTCCCATTTGTCTGATGCGTGGGCGAGCTGTGGAGCATCCAACCCTGCTCCATGTGGGTATCACTCCCATACTTGCAGTCTGATAGTGACATAATGACATCGAAGACCAGGATCCACCAAACTTGAAAGTTTAAGCTTCACCTGCAGGAGGCTGAGTGTCCATTCATCACAGTTTTTAATCTGCAGGTCTTCATGTCTTGCGTGCTGTCCAGTCTTTGGCGACGCCTCCTGTAAATCAGAAACAGGTGTTAAAACACGATGCGTTCTTTTTCAGTTTCACTAAAAGTGCAGCAGTGTTTCTGTCTGTTATATCCCATAATTCCCAAAAAAGTGTTGTGAACATTTTTAATATCGGGGTATTTAAGGAAGCTTTACTCCCCTCTGAAGCATCAGTGTGTGAATTTAAGACCATACTCCCTTCTATAGCGTGAGTCAGGTCTGAATGTCTGAGGTCAGCTGCAGAGTGTGTGTGGTCTGCTGGAGGCAGAACCCCTCCTTTACCATGAAGGCTATACAGCACACGTGAAGACAAGCTCTTCTAAGAGACGTTCAAGGTCAGAATAATAGTTGCTCTGTAATTCAAAACTAAAAATACGTAATAATTCTCTGTGAGCTATGGGCCTGCTGAGAGCTTTATTTTCTCAACCTGAAAATATAATTTTCAAGATCAGGGTTTTGCACACCGGGATCTAGCGTGAGGTATTGATGCAGGTGGACACCAAGTGTGGCAAGTGCACACATGGTGTTTTCTTTCCACCGCCACATGAATAATAAGAAACTAGTGTTGTTATTTTGAGCGTCCAGTGGCGGTAAATTGCAGATATCAAAGTGTAAAATAATTTTGACATATTTCCACAGCAAGAGATGTATTTACATTTTCTTTGGTTGCAAGGTTTGTAAGATTTGACAATCCCATGAGACCAGAAAATGAAATCCGGCACCAGCTCCAGCAAACTTCATGGAGCGTTCTGTTCTACACTGATTTTTTATTCTAACTGCACAACAGGGGGTCTTTTATAGTACAGCCACAAAAACATTATGTGCCGCAATAAGTTCACACTTACTGTACAGAACTGACGTGTAAAAAAAACATATAAAATGCCTCCTGCTCCTGATTCTCGCAAGACAAGATCAGCGAGAAGTATCTGTGAGCCTTCGTGGGACAAAGAACGTGTTTCTGACCCTTCTTGAGGTGTTATGAGACTCATTTAATGAAATGAAATGACACCACTGTCTAAATACAATAGTATAGTAAATGTTGTAGTAAATAGTGAATGCTGTTACTTCTGATACCAATGCAGACTCCTGCCTATTATTTATTTTTCCAAGATCTTTCATGTTTTGAAGATTTTTTTTTATAAATTGCACAGTCCCCCCGTTTTTGCCTATCCCATCCAGGTGATTGCTTTATTCTCTGTTCTCTTCAACCATTAATCTGATATTCCCATTTAAGATTAACGTCTGGTTAGATCAAAACTTCAAGCGTACAGGAGAAGAGAGAGATTTGGAAATGTGACAGAATATAAAGAGGACAGTGAGAGTCAAGGGTAAAGCATGGGGTGAAGAAAGAAAAGCAGCAGAGATGAGAAAACAATGTGAGAATGAGCAGAAAAGAGACTCTATATCTTTTAAGTCTGAAAAATCGATCCATGTTGGGAAGCGAACGGCAGGTACGATTGACTGAGGTGAAAATCCTGCTGACTCAAAATAAAAAACCTGGATTTATCATCGCATTAGATGCATTTGTTGTCCTAAGTGCACATAATGTCGAGACTGATCTGGTATCACAGCCTGAATGGGATATTACTCATGTTATTATTGCGTTGGCAGACCTCAGTCTGGTAAACCATGGTGTAATTTCACCCAGCACCTCACACACTGCAGTAAATATATATAAATAACACACACATCTAGAGTATACTCTTCTACTGTGTATATGTTAGTGTGTCATGTTTTTCCGTCTCCCATGCAGCTTCTGTACTGGAAACATCTTTATCATCTTCATTCTGTTTACTCTATATTCTCCAAGACACAGCTGTTGAACTGACCTAATACTCAAATGAATAGATTAGAAACAGATCTTGTGCCTGGAACTTTGGTTTTGTGACATAATATATGAAAAAGGGGAACTAATGTTTTAAGAAAAAACTGTGCAATCTGTGATTTGTTTGGGTTTGTGCAACATCCAAGTTCATTACAAACATATTACACAAAAAACTGCACACTTCTTTATTATTTCTTTGAATTCTGCGGTGATGCTGGTCACACATTCCATCCCAAACCTTGGACCATATCAACATATCACAAAACTTGCTCGCTCAATTTTCTGTTGCTTTGGAAATCCATACACCCAAGGGTATTAATGCTAATATTGTCAGTGAGCCCATGACCTTTCACTATCAGTCTGAGATTCACCATTTGTAAAAAAAAAAAAATGGTCAGAAATTAAAGGCCAGGTTGCAAAATAGTCTGAAGAGCATATCTTTGGTCCCTGTGGATTTTATTTTCCATTTTTTTGACACTGAGTATCTCTCTTGTTCCATCTGCAGCTCAGTATCAACTTTGGATGAGATATTGCATAAACTAAAGTATGAAATAAAGGCTGAGTGAGTGAAACCATTTTATTTCAACATCTCTGTTTTTTTAATACCAGCCATGAGGTCAAGCTCTTAAAAAAGAAGAAAATATTAATAGACTGGTAAATCTCACTTCTCTCTTCCTGCTGTCAGGTGAAACCATCTTTTTTCAACAGAAAAAGTCAAGAGATCACCAAAGTCATGAAAGAAATGAATGAGGACCTTCAGTACCTGTACTTAAGTTCATGAAAATCGATCTGGTAGTTGATACATTTCACTCTGAAACACTGATGTCAATTGGCACTAACAGTAAAATCTAATTATCACAAAAGTCAGTGGGGTTCATCCTCTGGGAGACACAAACATATTTCAAGGGAATCCAACCACTAGATATTCCAATACATATCAAAATTGCCGAAATGACCAGTGGCATGTGTAAACTGAAATAATTAAAGGTGGGCAAGGTTGTTCTCTCTCACATGATGCACCAAAGACAGACACGTGTTGCTTCTAAGCAGCTCTCATCATGATGTCTTAAACAGAAATGTAATTTGCAGAATTGGTAACTCTAAAGACGTTTTGTCTTTACTGTCTGTCTGGAGGCCACCGGGCTGTAGTGAAATATGCTGTTTACTATAATAACAATATGTTGAGCTGTGATGAAGGTCCATCATATCAGCAGCTTGTGGCTGTTATAGAGACAAACCGCACAGCTCGTTATTTTATTCTAATTAGACCACGGCTGCACAGATCCCACAGCTGTGTGTTGAATGTGGAATTCAGCCTTTCGCTCCGGTGATGAATATAAACAATTGCTGCTGTTAAACTACAAGCCAGTGTCTTGGTCCTTCTATCTGCTTCCACTGACTCTTTTTTATTATTTAAATAGATTGAAGACAAGACTTTTATACATCTGCTTGATTGTGTGGGTAAAACCTTACACCACGCTTGACGTACTATGTGCACTCAAAGCCACGCTCACTGCCTCCCTTGCTCGCACCCTCTCATTTCTCCCCCTCTGTCTTCCCTCTGTGACAAAATGATGCCAATCAGCTTCTGCAGCAAAGAAACCAACGAAACAGAGAAATGAAAATCAACCTCCCTGCAGAGCTCTTCACAGTCAAAATGCCACAAGCTGTACAAAGCTCTGTAAAGCATCAACATCATGATATCTTGAAATAGAGCTTGACACATGACACAATGAGAGGATTCACTCTGACCACGAAATCAGTTAAAATGAGGACACAATCAGTTTTGAGAGGCAGTGCTCAATACGCACACACATTCTCGCCTCTCCTGAAACATGTTTTCATCGTGTCTTCATGTTTATAACTGTGTTAACACATTCTGACCATGTAGGGTGGACTCTGTGACCGAGACTTGATGGAATGCAGGGCTGGAGAATGGGAGGCACCAGAGAAACCAGTGTCACAAAAGGAAATAAGACTGCCTCCCTGTCAAACAAAGATTGATGGGATAGCAAACTACAGTAATAGTAAAACTCTCTTCGTGTGGATGAATCAAAAGTAATTTCAAGGACAGAAAAGTAAAAGAAAAATACTATTAGTTGTGTTTTCCCTCTTTCTCTGGCCCTGTTCTTGAACAGATTAAGGATGAAAACTTGGCAGGAAATGTGAAAACTCCTTGAGAACACAAACAGAATATCTGAGGAAGTGGAATTCATCAGGCTGATCCAGTCCTCCCTTTCCTTTCCCACTGCGGGTTAATTTAATGTCAGCGGAGAACGGTCGGCCTCAGTCTAACTCCTTAATCTATAAAAAAAGAAGGCAGTTGAAGCCGAGGTACAGTCTAAACATAACAGACATGTGCTAAGAAAAGCCCCAGGAATATTAAACCTCTTGTTTAACCGAGGTGTCTGTTTTGATCAGACAGGTCACTGCACTCCACCTGCACATCTGGAGGACAGATGTGGTCCTCGGTTAAACCATAAATTTGTAGATGCATATCAGTGTATATTTTTGCATGCATAGGTTTTTTATAGCAGGGTTGTTTGCATTAGCAGCGCTTTAAAACCGATGTGACATTAATAAACATTTGTCCTGGTGTTTAATGAGTGTGAGGGATAAGAAATAGATGGTCAGCCTGGGTGTGCAATCCTGTCATATAAAGGGGGATCCATTTCTTTCTATGACTGGGGTTTTATTTTCAGAGGTTTGGACACTGCTTTTTGTGTTAACGATATTTATTTATGGTTACTAAAAAACTATAAAAACCTATATATGTATTAGATACAGATATATGTCTGCTTATACGTGCTATCAGAAATGTTGATCTGTGTCAGCATCAGCTCAAATGTACATTTACCATTTTACTGAGTCATAAAACCAAACAATATGTGCACAATTCTAATTCAATTCTAAGTTTCAATATCACGAGATGCAAAAAAATAACATCATGATTCTCACCTAAGGCTATAAAACAACATGTGTGTGTTCCTCTGTGTTACTAAAGGACAATGAGTCACAGTAGAGCCAGTTCCTCTTCTGCCAGATCACATTCTTCCAGTTTATCGGCCAAATCAATATTAAGAAACCGTGAGATGAAAGGCTTGTCTGAGTTTTAGATCTCCACCAAGGTTCCATGTTCTCCTTAAACCTGACACATGCTCTTCAGTTGTTACCATGAGACCTCTGACTGATTATGTTAATGAAAAAACATTTGCTGACAGAACTTGTCAACGCCACGTAACTGCCAATGCTTCGGATCAAGGGTGGAGACCTGTGACTGTAGATCTGGTTTGCACACACAAAAGGTTGCTACACGACAAGTAGTGGCTTGACAGAGTACTCGAAGGGTTTCTCTTTCTTTGAGCCAAATCATGTTCACGCTCTGAGCTCATCTAAGGAGTTTAAACTGTAACAGCTATAAGTTCTTACTTGTGAAGAAACATTATTCTAAATGTTAAACCTTTAATTGGACTGTAATTACTATGTGTCAGGAACATGACAAAAATACCTCATGAGTCAGTTGTGACTTCTGTGCCTACGTTTTACTTGATACCACATTAAAACATTTCAATACATTAGAGAAAATATTCATCTTGGATGTACTTCAGGGTAAAACAGCACATATGCAGCCAATTAAAGTGTAATTTTTGACTTGATGCTTCTTACTCACTGTTTATTTCAAGCTGTTTGGAGGCAGCCAATCTGTTCAACATAAAGCTTATATTCCCATATGATCGTGGTCATATCGAGATTAAAACTCATATAGAAATGAAATCCTCACACAGTCACGTGGAGATATCACTGTTACTTTGCTTCTACAAACCAAAATGAATGGGAGCCGAAACTGGGTTCAAACTCAGTTTTAACTAGAGTTCAAACAACACATCACTGGGTGGAAAAGAAAAAACCAACAAAGAAATATTCAGCTGAAAAGCTTCATCCATCAGGAAAATGACTCAACAGCATTGAGCACAACAACATAAGAGTAGATGCAGATACAAGTTTGAAGAAATTGAGCCATCTTCGCTTAAACGGTTTTCAAGCTGGAATATAACACAGAGCTCCTCTCACATTTCTGTGGCTTGTTGTCATCGCAGGTTAAAAGATTACCAACTCTTGAAAATACTTGAGTATCACGGATCCTCCCTCATTCCTAGAGCTCAGTGTTACAGAATCCTTTTCTTCCTTTTGTGGTGGACCCCCGGAGTCCAGTCTAAACAATCTGTTAAGGTACAGCTCTCTCCCTCTCCCTTCTCATGCCTTTAGCATTATCTAAACCCTTCTCGAACAGCGGCCCTCGCCAAAAGAAGCACATCTCACATTTGTTTCCACAAACTCGTAAGGGCAATCTAAAACCCAGCTGCCCGCCAGTGCAGGGCGCAGCAGCCTGAGAGAGGGATTGTCCTTGGTGTGCTACTCCTTACAAACTGCCTCTCATCATTAATAAAAAACAACTTAGAAACTCCACTGAGCGTCCACAAGAGGCAGGTTTGTCCAAAGGTCAGCTGGCTACCTGTCAGGACCTCCGCTCTGCACCGTGAGCGGAGCTGCAGCTCAGTTATTGGACCAGATTGGGAAAAGCAGAGGAAGGAAAATGAACTGAAATGTCAAACGGACACAGCGGGTGAACAACAAACGTCTCGCACATCCACAGATCTCAGCCCTGACTTCAAACCGATCCTCTGCACCGAGCTGGAGACAGAACACACAAATCACTTCATGGCTTGTTTGCAAGGGTGGGGGAGAGGGGTGTGTGCATGAAGAGAAGCCATTTAGGGATTAAGCAAGGAACTATAAACCCTGGCAGAAGATCTCACATCCATGGTCAGATGTTTGACGGAGAATGCTCTGATTTGTTAATGTTACAATAAACAGAATAATAATAACGAGATAAGACGATGGGAGCGTGTGTACGAATGTTTACAGCAGTTTATCTTTGCTGCTTCACGTCTGTGGTTCAGTCTCTGGTGGAGTCTTTTCACCCCCCAGAGACTTGACACTGAGATATTCTGCAGCTGTTCAGAAGATTCACCCAGTGTTACTGCTCAGCAATGCAAGAACGTAAACATATATGTGCTGAGAGGGGGACTTTATAGCTTATTATGACCTTTAATAAATATGTTTGTAGAGTTTTAAAAAATATATTCTGATGAATTGTATTGTTTAGCTTTCTAATCCACTAATTAAGTTAAAGTTATACTCATTTCTGTCTGTGCAATTCAGCTCACACTGTATATATTATTTCTATTCTATATATATATTTGTATATTCCCTGGTGTTTTTATTGTTTACTTGTTTATTACTTTTACTGGTGTCTGCTTAGGGGAACTTTATAATGTTCATGTTTTATGGTGTTTATTTTTTTCATCTTTCTAATGTTTAGGTTTAGTTAAACTGTGCAACACTCATCTCTGTCTGTGCAACTCAATGGCTCATGTGCAAACCTATTTTACTGTATATTCCTTATACTCTAATTTCGAATTATATTTGTATATTTGCATTTTTTTCTTGCATGTTTACTTATTTATTACTTTTACGGGTGTCTCATTTTTGACTGTCCTTGTCCTTTGTGGGACTAATGAAGGCTTATCTTATCTTAACTTGTCTTATCTTATCTGATCTTGTCTTAGCTAATTTTATCTTACCTTGTCTTATCTTGTCTTCTCTTCTTGTATCTTATCTTATCTTGCCTTATCTTATCTTAACTTGTCTTATCTGATCTTGTCTTAGCTTATTTTATCTTACCTTGTCTTCTCTTCTTGTATAATATCTAAACTTGCCTTATCTTGACTTGTCTAATCCTTTCTTTTTATTGGGTGTTGCTTCCTATACAAGCTGCCTATTTATAAACTCAGCCACTGCTCTCTACTGACAACAGATATCTCAACTTTTCCTTTGAGATTAAAGATGAAAACTGATAATGAGGTGAATTCACAACAAAACACAATATGAGGCTAATTAACTTTTGTATAATTACGAACGTGCAGCTGAATAATACTACGAGTATTTGTTTGTACTTGACTACCTTAATGAAAACACATCTACTCACGCTGGATCTGCGTCGTCTCGTCTCCACGCGTGTCTCCAGAGCTCTGGAGCTGGAGGAGATCACACCGACCTGTCCGGTGTCTGCTGCGTGGAACGAGTCAACCCACCGGTGACAGTATCCTCATCGTGAACATGGTTCATTCTGACCGAACACCGGCTGGAGCTGTGTCAACATGTGGGACTTTCCGGAGTCTCCATCTGACTGAGCTGCAGCCTCCCCCAGTGCGCACACAGAGGGGAGAGGAGGGATGGATGGGAGGGGAGGTGCGCGCGTGGAGCAGGAAACACCAACAGTATAAATAAATCTTGTTTACATCACAACCACCAAATGCTGTTAGCTTATTGATCAGGTTTATCACGAATGGTGCTTTAAATCATTCGAATGGACGCAGGTTACTTCTGTCAGCTCCTCAGAGGATTCCAGAGTGTCTGTGGTGACAGTGTGGAGAGAGAGGGAAACGGAAAATAGTTCATCTATAACCTAGATTATAAAAAGGCATCCTACTTATGGAAACATGATTAATTGAATCCCAGAAGGAAGTAAAGCAACTGTCTGGATTCTGGATCAAGTCTGTGACCTGAAATGATTTTACACTGCAAAATAAACAGGTTAGGAAGAATATAAATACTAATATAAATACTCATATATATACTAGTATATATATACTACAGGACTCTGCACCCTGCCAACCTCTTAATAACTCTCCCCTCAGGGAAAAGACTCAGGACCATCAAAACTCAGGACCATGGCTCCTCGATCCTGCATCAGCACTTTACAAAGCAGATACTTCCATTGAATTCTGTTATATTTTGTATTTTAAGTGTACTTTTATACACTGAACATTTGCAATAGTTTATTATTCTTTATTTTACACCCATATATGCAATTTGTGTTTTATGGGATGGGGTTTATGTGTTTTGATTCTTTTCTTGTTATGATTGTTGTCTCATCGTGGGCAAACTGAGGCCAATTCCAAACAACTGAGTTTTGTGGCAGTAAAGTATTGAATCTTGAATCTTGAATCTTGAAAATTTCATGTAAAAGAACCTGAATTTGAGTAAAAGTTGAACCAACGAATTATTTAGGTCAGTTGAAACTATTTAAGTTTACAAAGTCATTAAAACATCTCTGTTCACTTTATTCAAAAATTACAGTAAGCTCAGCAGTTTAAAGTTTCAGTGTTTGGGGTTATTTATTATTAGAAAACCCTTTTAAGACCAAACTTTGATGCACAATTCCCCACTGAGCTCATGAAGCTGCCAGGAAATCAGTAACGTACATTCACCCCATTGACTGTAAATGATCCATTTTATGTGATTTGGCTGCATCACAGTGGTTTCATTTTCACAGAGAGAGATGACTCTTTGAATAAGTTTCACTTGAACTTTGAAATAATAACCATATTATCATTTAATCTTTTTGGATACTCACCATTTGTCCAGTTTGATGAAAAGGCACTGAAGCAGAATGCTGAGCATCTTGAAGAATAGCTGTCTTCAAGGCAACAGTGACCTGCTTGTCTTGCTGTTTTTCTAACTTTTAATAATTTCAATAGGTATTTATTTTTCAAGAAGTGTTCTCATGACAGAAATGCTGATGTTTGTGTAAACAACATTGTGCCATCAGGGACATTTCCAGAGCACCCCAGGTGATTTGTGGTCTTAATGTTCTGTTGAACTAATGGGATTTGTTTTTCTTCATTAGTTGTCATGACTCACTCTGTATGAGTGGGAGTCAACGTGGATGTTGCTCAATGGTACATTAGGCCTGATGATAAAAACACAAGTTGTGCTGAGATGAAACTGAGCTGCAGGTCCACCAGAATGTGAAACAGTGCTGCTCGTAACTTTGTTTGTAAAATACAAAACCACATCTGGTTTGGTGTCTCGGGATTCTGACAGAAGAAAGAAATCATCTTATCAGACACATTCAGAATGGTGCAGGATGTTTTCAGTGTGGTTATTGTCCCATGTCCTGGCTCGTTTACTTTTCATAGAGACATGTTTTCTTCAGGGAAAGAATGAATTTGATATTATTAGTCAAGGTTGAACATGTGCCATGGAAATCTAAACTGAACAATCACAGACACTGGTGTGTATAATCAGAGCTGGACAGCAATGTCATACTGACCTTATTCTGAATAAAGACATTATTTTGAGTATGGTGTTTACATGAGTTGCTAATAGAAGATTCCATTCATATTCCCGTTGTTCCGTACATGTAACTGAGCATAGTCTTTATTTTATTTTATATTATGACTCAAGGCAGCATTACTTTGCACTACTTGTTTCACTTGAACCCAGGATATGTGTCCTCAAGTTGGTAGCCTGTGTTTGTCCATCCATTATCTGTGCTGCACAACATAACTAATCATAATCTGCAGGTCTTTGAGAGGAAGCCTGAGTATCCAGAGAGAACATCCGAACTTCACATAGAAAGACTGGGATTCCAACCAGAAACATTCTTTCTGTGAGGCAACAATGCTAACCACCTTACCACTGTGCCACCTTGGAATACTCCACGTCTTATTTGGATCATTGCATTTTATTCAGACTACTGTCTTAATTGGGTTAATATCAGTATATTAGTGTCCATGCAAACATGTCTAATATCTTCAATGCATATCTGTCACCGTTTCACCGCTGGAACAGAGTCCCGGTTAACAAGACATTATTTACATTTAGCCGGAGTCATGTTTTATTTATCTGAACATTATTCAACTCCATTGCAATAGCGTGACACATCACATTGTCAACATTGTCACGGAATCCAAAACAATGAGATGTGTCCAAAAGATGCTAAATGTGTTTCCAGCTGCAGTTTTATCACCATAGTCCAAAAAGACTTTGGTGATGAAATGAAACCCTCACAGTTCTCTGTACATCACACGAGATGGAGGCTGTCGCGTTTCCTCCTTCTCCACAGGAAGGAAATTAATTCTGTTTTCAAGAACCAACTTCCTCCCCATTCGTCATGATGCTGGTTTCTCGCAGCTAATAAACAGAGAAAAAAATGAGGGGGACAAAGCAGAGTGTCGGGGGCTGCCGTGATGTTCATCTTTGGTGCTCCCCCCGGTTGCAACTTTAAAGAGGTTTGATGGTTCATTTCTGACAAGTGAAAGCGTCTTCCCCAGGAAACTGACGCTGCTCTATGAAGATAAAGTCTCATTTGAATAAACTGCCTCCCCCTTCAAAGCACATCCATATGCATGAGACCCCGCGTCTAATTGCTGTTAATTCCTGTTAAACTGATTGCGATTTATTCACATTTCACAAAGATGCACATGCCGTGTGCATGAATGAAGTCTAACACACACGTTTCCCTGCAGTCAGTTTGAATGTATCAGATGTGGTTTATGATAATCGTTGCACTAATGTTAAATTGAAACTGACAACCCAGAAGGCCTTTCGACATTTGTTATTTTTAGTGATATGTTTTAGCAATACGCAATATTTCTAAAATGGCCGTGCATCAGATGTCAATATCTAATAATGTATAACAACATGATATAACTAGAAAGGTACAACAAAACTAAATATAAAATAATAATAAGACAGTGGAACCGTTAATGGTTTGCATTTCTAACTGCTCATCCATTTCCACTTCTGTTACAGTACAATCATACAGAACAGGCTTTCAAGTTTCCTCTGTCAGGATGCAACTTTCATCAAAGGCCCATAGAAGCCCCCCCCCGCCCCCCAAAATGAAGTTGTTTTGTTTCTGTTATTGGAAATCGTTCAAGGAAAGCAAGGCTCATTGAAAAAGCTTACATTTGTCTGCCCGCTGCTTCCAATACTGCCTTTGCAGCATGAAGTCAAATATATAGATGTCAGCTCTTCTCATCACAGAGACACCAGGATTGCATCTGTACACTGAGCCTCGGGTCTCTGAACTTCTGATTGAAAAATTCTGCTTTCAGAATCTGTTCTCCAAATCTAAGAGCAGCAAAGGAGTTCATTAGACTGCCATGAGTTCACTCAGCATCAGCTCCAAGATAATGTCCTGTAATGATCGTGTGTGTGTGTGTGTGTGTGTGTGTAGGGGGAACGAACTCTCTACCACCACCGTGTTCTTTGACTTTGAGACAGACTGTAATTAGCAGCGCTGTGTCCTCTTGTGTGTTATTAGTGCATCTGACCTTTGAATGCATCAGTTGAGTGAAATAACACATCTGGCTCTGCAGCCGTGTTTGAGCTGAGCAGAGCTGAAGACAATATTAAACTGTGATTGTAAATCAGAGGAAGTTTTAATCAGTTGTTCATGGATTCTTAAGAATTGCGACACTGTTTTGACCAGAGGGATTTAATACCCAGATTCAGCTTCAGATTTTCTATATTTCATCGTTTAAAACAAACAAATAAGTCAAAATTTACAACAAAGCAACATTTTGTGCTTTTACAGTGGATTTACAAGAGGATTTAATTAATCTCCATCATTCACCCAAGCTGATAAGACGGCAGGAGGGTTTTATACCAAAGCCCACATTTTCTAGTGTGAGACTCAAGAAAAGGCAAAAGGGAGCTGGGGGGGGGCCCTACACTGAAACAAATCAAACCCTCCCCCAACCCCAAAAACATATGAAATCATACCCTGTTATTCTAATCTACAAATGGTTATTTTATTATGAATATTACAAACAAAGCGCAAAATGTGTGTTTAAGAGCAAACCTCCATCGCCATCCTGAACATCATACACACACATTTAAAAACTTCAGTCTTCAACCAAACCTCTATAATTGTGACAAGGGGCCTTGTTTGGGGGGATTCCGATGAGGTGTCGTTGCAGTCTCCTATCTGATCATGGAATTTCAGAGGTTCTTACAAAAATTGTCAACGCAGCGGACTAACATACCGAGCCATTCTCAGGGGCACCCTCTCAGCTCGGGGCCTGAGGCAACTGCCTGCTTTGCGACACCCCTGAGATGTGAAACACACTCATGTCAGTTCAACTCCGAGTTGATCCAAGGACGTGGAATCCCCCCTCATTTTACTTGTGATTAAACCACATTACTCTCATTTCCTAAACCGTAAAGCTCTTTCCTTGGAAAATCCGTTTTCATCCACGGCTCCACTCCTGTGCCAGTAGTCTTGCAATCACATCTGTGTGTCTGCGCTGGCCTGTGCACAAGCATTACAGCACATGAGGTCTAAAGATTTGTAAGGAAGGGGGGGAAAGATGGACCAGACGAACTTAATCAGAGTTGCCTGCAAGTGATTTATTTAAGACATCGCTCAGAAGCTGGCGAGCCATCTCAAGCAAAACCCAAAGTCGGAAAGAAATCCAAACATTTCCCCTGAAGTGAGATCAGGCCTGAAGTCTGACTAAATCATAATTTCTCTGGCTACTTTAACTGTTTTGCCACTTTTCACTTTCTGCGTCTCTCCGGGGAAGATTTTAATTTTGAGAGTCACTTCTGTTCAGAAGCTTCATCAAAACCACAGTGTGCAACATAAAAGGAACAAATCAAAAGAGGGCAAACAAACCCACTTTTACTTTGAAGCGGATTTAAAGACCATAACCAGTTGGCTCCTTCTGCCGACTGGTGCTGAGGAAATCAGATTCATCTCCTCCTGCCTTGGCCCTGCTGCGCTGGAGGACGCAGCTGAGGTACAAAACATCCAAGAGTGACGTCAAGCAGTGTCCCTCAAACCAAGGCAGTAATGTATCGAACAGATTAACAGATGCACATATGCTTCAGAAGTACTTGATTTTCTTGTATCATCAAGTTGAAGCTAGTAACACATGATAAAATGCACAAGAGTCACGCAGAGCTTACAGAGAACTGGCTGAAACTGAAAGAAAGGAGTGAAATGATTCAGGAAAGTTTATTTGCCAATTAAAACACTCTTCTCGGATTAGTCATTATTCATTATAATATAAATAATGAGCTCAGAGAAGCAGTTTGCTGACATAGTGGGTCTGGATATTTTTCTTAATGTACGAATAATTGTGAGATTGTTCATGACGATGGTGCAATCAGGGGAAGATTTGGCGTCTGAATCCCCCTCCCCCGCTCCAAATGAAGGATAGTGTTGCACTGTGTTTCATATGTTTTGGTTCAGGATGGTTTTGACTTAAAATGATCAACCAATCCAGGAGTAACTCTTGCAGTTGAGTCGAGCTCTAATTGCTGATTTTTGTATGAGTGATAAAAATATCAAGATACAAAATGTAAGTGAGTTTATTTATTACATTATCTCAATGCACATATGTTTGTATCCTGATGAAACATTTCCATAACGTTGTACTTGGAATCAGCCGTCTGTTTCTTTTCACCCATCACCCTCCTCTTCTCATCTGACCTGTGAACTGTCATGGAAACTATGTCAGTGGAGGACCACCGCGGCTAGAGACACACACACACACACACAACCACACATACATAAATAACACACACACACACACACACGAGGACATCCTTGTGTGTGTGTGTGTTATTTATTCAAACCTCCCACTCGTTTCTCTACGAATGATAAGTACAGCTCACAGGCTGTGTAGATGGTATTTTCTCTACACACACACACACACACACACGCATCGAAGCTCAGGCATGTTACTATCAACATCTGACCCTGTCCTAAAGCATTCTCCAACATGAATTTTAAACATGCGGCCTCTTCGCCCACACCTAAACGACCCCCCTCAGATACCTTGCAAAATTATTCATCACACTGTCGTATCACAGTTGCCTCAAACCAAAATACGGGATGGACTCCTTGTGCCTGATTTCCCAGAGTACTGATCAAAACTGTCACATTTTTGGACTGCATGCGAGGCCTCATCGAAATGAAAAATATCACTGAACCATAAGGAGGGGCCGGGCAGGTGTGTTTGTGTGGAGAGGTATGATGCACATGTGTGAAAGAGGGAGACAAGAAGTACTTAGAGGACAGACAACACTCAAATAGCCGCTGCACTGACACCAGCACGTCAGCGTCAGGTTGACATTGAGCAGGTTTTGACAGTGGTGAGAAAAGTCTGTAATTGAAGGATGTTTGTCTGCAGCCATCACAGTGATGTCAGGAGAAAGTCAGCTACTGACCACTCTCTGTCCTCCTGTGTCCTCCTCCCAGCAGCTCGCTCACTGTCTGCAGACAGAGGCAGAGGCCGCTTATTCACCCGGTCTACTGTAGATCAAAAGTAGTGAAAGCACAACTCACCCTTGAGAAGATGACAATGAAAGACACTGGCATGACAGCAGGTTTGAAGCTCTTCTATCAGAGTCCTCTGCTGCAGGACTGATCACCCGACTGTGAATTGGTCATTTTTCAGCTCAGGGTGTGACACACACCTGCTGCACATGGATGCACAGATCCAATGACGTCAATAAGACGAGGTCTGAAATTAACAGGGGTTGCACGCTTCTTGAAAAAGAATATTAAACTGTAAACCTACTGAATTTACTGAATCTAGCTCAGGTGGGGACTGAGGGGACTGAGACACAGATCTCTCAGCTGGTGTTCACATTTAAACACATGGATCCAACATTTTTATTATCACCACCAAATGTTAGGGTCTATCAGGACAACAATATTGCAAACTGAGATTGTGTTGAAAGAAAGAAATGAAATGGTGACACCGTGTGGTTGTAGTATGTAAGTGAATTTAGTGTCAGTAGGTGGAAGAATGAAAGGTTCAGGAAGGTTGTTTTTAGCAACTTCCTAAAGACATCTTTAAATCATTGGAGATTGATTTACCATTGATTGTTCTCATAGTTTAAATTGTGGTGGAGATATTTTTTCCCTTTTAATCGTAAGTTAGAAGCAAAAGTGAAAATCCCAGAGTTGGAAACCTCTTACCTTAATTTTCAACATTATATAGAATGTTGGCTCCGCTTTAAAGTTGATTGGATTCGAACCTGGTGATAAAATGAAGATAAATATTAGATTTTCTTTCACAGAGTTTAAAAGAGGCCCTTTAACAAGTATCGTCAACATCTACCTTCATTACCAACCTCACAATGACGTCTCTCTCATCCAAATTAAAGTTAGAGAGGGACAGAAAACATCTCACAGTTCATACTCATTTGAAATGTTTTTATTCTAACACACGAGTCAGACACAGATGTTTTATGTTTGCGTTTATTAAGTTATTATACTGATGTGGGTAGTGGGTCGCAGCAGACGGTGAGTGGTGTAAACATCTGAGAGGCAGCTGGGTGGTTGCATTATGGTGCAGAAATGTAAGACACACTGATGCAGAAAAGGACCCTGGATCAGATGTTAAATACACAGTGAAAACACAATGATGCACAGTCAGTGCATGGAGGTGTAGGTTTGACAGAACTAAACATTGTAAACGCTTCGGCTCAGTCATGGGACACTTGTTTGGCCTTTTGCTGTGATGTTGACGTACGCACAGTTGCATACTTTGAAGTAGTTTAATGAGGTTTAAACTCATTTTGAACAATATGATAAAACAGACCTGGTACAAACAGCTGCCTTCACTCTGGAGAACATGGTGTGACATCAATGCAACAGCTACAATGGTTCTGGGCAGTAACAGTGAATCGAATTACATTTGGTGTGTCCCAGTCAACACTTGTCAGCAGCTGCATCGTGTCAGTTTTGTCCTCTCATAGATGTGGGTTAAAGTAAGTGGGCTGCAGGAATCCACTGGACATGAAGGGATGTAGGAGCCCCCCGGTGGATGGAAGAGGAACAGCACCGGCCGTGTGGAAGATCACGTTCCCGGAGCTGAAGTTCGGGAAAGTCTGGTGGAAGCTGGCGGAGCTTGAGCCGCAGGAGGTCGGGTTTGGACTGACGCTGACGAGGGAGTTGGAGCCGGGCTGCAAGGTGCTGTCCGCTCCGGGGTTCTGCTTTTTCCACTTGGTCCTCCTGTTCTGGAACCAGATTTTCACCTGGGTCTCGGTCAGGCTCAGGGACAGGGCCAGGTTTAGTCTCTCGCACACGGACAGGTACCGAGTGGCGCGGAACTTGTTCTCCAGAGCCACCAGCTGCTCGTATGTGAACGCTGTCCTGGCGCGCCGTGGTTTGGAGCAGGCCTGGTCCGTGCGCCGACGCTTGTGGCCGGATGGGGCCTGCGGGGTGACCGCTGACTCTCCGTCGTCCTGGTCCTGATCACCGGGGAGACAGGGGTCTGTGTCCGCAGGAGAGGAGAGGGGGGGGTCTGCAACATTTGTGTGATGCCTGCAGGATGAGTGCGCATCTCTGGTCTCTTCCCCTGAGAGATAAAAAGAATGGTTAGTTCAAAACCTCTGGAGGAAATTCAGGATGCCAGAATATTATTAGTAATTATCAGTTATCAGCTTTTTAAGGGTGATGGTGCACGACCTATAATTCAAATATTCAAAACTGTATTAACTGTTATAGACAACACGAAGATTTGGCACAGGTTTGTCTTCCCCGGTTCTTATCAACCAAATCTTTAAGTTTAACATCAAACCATTATTTTTCAAGAAGTGGACTTAAACATAGTATTAATCCTGATTTGATAAATATATAATCAAGCAAAGTAGAGAAAGAAATTTGTCTTTTTGATGTCTTGTTTTGAGATACAGGCCAAAAAGTCTCAGAGTGAATGTGCTAAACTGACTGAGTTGCTTGAGGACGTCACCTGGACACATTAAGGAATGAATCTCCGTTGTGAAATCTTGTTCCTCTTTGTCCAGTCTGCACCAAAACTGTCTGGTTGACATCTGTGAAGTGTTTGATTAGGAACCTGAGGTCGCTGGAGCGCAGCAGAGACTCAGAGGACGGAAACGAAGGGGGAGAGGAGACCCGGGGACTAATCCTTAAATAATTTATAAACCACACAGCGCCTCAAATGTCATGTTGCGGAAAAGAAATCCCGTCTAAATCCAGCCCCGACACCTCAGCCGTGACGTGCTAATGGAGTTTCATATTTGCGCGCGGATCGATAAATGTCATCTATTTAAAGGGAAGTTTTAATCGAGCGATATTTGGGATCAGACATGGATGGGGTGTGAAGTTTGTACCTGCAAGGTGCTGGAGGGAGATATGCAGGATGCGGTAATGGGATATCGATCAAAAGCGCGCAGAGGCATCCTCAATGGGACGATTTAAACAATTATCTGCCCTGCCTGTCCCAGTGCCAATCACACGCTGGGGCTCTGGGAGCGAGCCTTTGTGGCTTCCGTGAAAAGGAAACGCAGCCTTGGAAATTAAGGGAAGGTCATAGAGAGATGACAGTAAATCTGATAGAAAATAGCGTCTTATTTGCGGATCCAGACCCAGCAGAGATTTATTTATCACTGCGTTCTTATACGTGGATTCGCTTTTTTTTAAATATATGGCATATCCAGTAAAAAGTGAAAGCAATATTACGCGTGAATGTTTGATGGGTTATGATTCTCAAATCGTCAGTTTTCTCTACCTGCTTTCGTGAAGTCTCCCTCCGCAGCGCTGTCCGACTCCAAACTTGCTCCCTCCGCATCTGCTCCAGGAAACTTCTCCTTGGAAAGTTCGTTCACCCTTCTGCTGTTGAACTTGTTGGGATCCAGTATATCAATTATTGAAAAGGAAATCTTATGACTGGACGTCATTGTCACTCCACAGTCCTCGGGGTCCAGCATCCTTTTTCACAGAGAGAACCGTTCAAAGAGGATGGAGGAAGAAAATGACTGACGTGCGTAATTACGCGTGTGGAGAGGAACTTCGCATAGTTTCGCCTACTTCTTGTCTTCAAACTTCATCGAACCGGATTAGTGGTGATGATCCCTCGCAGTGGTGTGGACCTCGCTCCCCTGCCTCTGTCTGTCAGTCTTGAATGCAGCGTGCATGTGGTGACCGGAGCGCGGGTCTTTAAAGCGTCTGCATGTCCCCCCTCGTCTCTCAGCCACAGACACGTGACACAAACACTATTAGTGTTTCACACGACCACCTAATGGGCTCAAAGCATTCGTCGATAATCACCCATATCATTAAATCCAATAATGCACGACCGGAGAGTAAATTGGGCACAGATGGCACTTGATCCATATCAGAGATCGCCTGTCTAACCTATAAACGGACACTTATTAGAGGCAATGCTGTCAGGAAAGGGGATTTTCGCGTCCCCGAGCAGCACAAAAACTTTGTCTTAATCGAAAACAAACGGTTTCTGCTTATAAACAGCTGACCATGGATGGGATTGTTGCAGCACCATGTTTACAATCAGTGCAAACCATAAGTTTTTGTGTTAAAATGGAAAAGCATTGAAATGTGCTTTCAACGTCAGCAATGTAAATACACAGATATAAGCAGATGTATAATACTTAAGTGATATTTAGGTGTTATATAATATTATATAATGATATAAATTGGGTTGTGAAATATTCAAAGTATGTAAAGACATATTTTTTGTGGCAGCTGGTATCATTTAAAGAATGAATATCAATGTATTAATACAAGTCTTAAACACATTCCTCCTCTCTGTTTTTCTTATTCGTGCATTTGTGAATTAAGTCTGTTATTTTCATGATGATAATATTTCCAGTACCATTTACGTTACATTGCAGCACATTTCACACAGTTAACTGAGTGAAAATCTCAAGATTGCGATTACATTTTTTTTCTTACTATTTAAAGTCTTTGACAAATGTCAGTAACTTCTTATAAAAACATGAATGAGGTCCTGTTTTCCACAGTCTAAAAGGTTTCTTGATGAATTGTATTCTCTGGGCGAGTTTAAAGCATTCAGAGCTAAACTGTGGCCGCACAATGAATACAGCTGATTGTCTTCTCACCTAAGGTGATAGATTTATATTCACAATCAATTGCTCCCCCTAGTCTCCGCTATTAGTATTCAATATAAAGTGGCACAGGGTTGTTTAAAGCTCGATGCCTCGTGATGGCCAAAATGGTGAAACCAGCGCAGGATCAATATTCTCAGCAGGTGTCCAATACAGATAATACCTGATGGCTACAGACAGTCATTTTGGATACTGGAAGGCCAAACCAGTTACAGAACAGGGAGTTTTATCTGAAGCTTGCTTTAGCTCCTCAGTCCTTGAATGACCCAAATGTTTTTCATGTTTGGATTCTGCTTTTATTGTCATTTATTTCAATTAGAATTAGAAAAGGTTCATTTTAGTGTATTTATTTCCCTCAGCTGTAGTGTGGTGTCACTCTTGTGCTTCATTTGTTTTTGAATTAACATATTTTACAATCTAAGCCTGTGAGGTCCACACTTGTATGTGCATGAGACAGAAGGCCGAGGGGTCCGCTCTCTGTTTTTCTGTTCAGTGTCAGTATCTTGGGGGATCTGATCATGTTTACACACTGTTAAAGGTCTCCCAAATTCCTCCCCACACAACTTCCTGTGTTACTTCTACACTTCAGGGTGATTACTCTGCTACACGGAGGTTTCATTGCTACCCAGTCATAGTCTGGTGGACTGTCATGGTCTGCAGTAGTTACATAGTCAAACATTTGTTAAAGCCGACCCTATGGGGTGTCAGCGTGTCTGCATTTGCATGTGTATGGCACTTGTGCGGCCATTACTGTAGTACCTCCATATGAATAGGGCCCACTGCACGCTGGAGGTTTACAACTTCCTACAAGAAAGCCCAGTGGCCGGACATCTGTTTGTGTGGGTCGGCGGGACAAAGGGGACGAGCCCCGAGGACAAAGAGGCCCTCAGGTAGACTTCAGACAGCGGGAACAGCAGCTGGCTCGGCTTTGAGTCTGTACGGGCCAGAGCGAGATCTCAGGGTGGAGGAGCGCTCGCTGTCGGACACCGCGGGGAGCCGAAGAGACACACTTCCATCCAAGACCCCCCTCCACGGTCAATAAAGTCATCACTTCACAGGGAGGCCGACCCTAGTCTGCTAAACGTCAGATAATTTGTCTAATGGCAGCAGTGGCATTATGAGCTGCGGTTCTACTCACAGACTCACAGGGTCTTTTGTCTTCTCTGAAGTCCTCCACTGTCTCCACATGTCTCCTGTAAAGAGGGAGTGAAACAAAGGATCAGAAAGTGTCGAGCATTCAGGGAGGCTGTTAGATCCTCGCTGTCAGATTCCTGTGGTTGTTATGGTTTCTAAGATGAAGATACATTGATGGTTTTCATGTTAAAATTATAACGTCAGCTGAGATGAGGAGCGGTTTGTGCAGGGTGACGATGTGATGAATCCAAAATAACTTTGGTGATCTCTGATTTTTCTCCGGCACCATTTAGCAGATCTAAGTATCTCTACATCTACAATATGGCACGGCAAAACGATTTTGTTTCAGACACCCATAGTGCCCTGAGGATGAATCCTACTGACTCCTCACAGACACTAAAATGCTTTCAGAGTCACAGAAGTCACTGAAGTCCAGATATTTTCCTGACATTTTCCAGAGAGGCTGTATACGAGACCACAACAGTTCAAGATAGTTGCTCGAGATATTTTCAAGAACTTTTCCTGCCAGTCCCACAGTAAAATATCCTGGAAATACCCAGTTGATAAAACAGTTAAATTCACTTTGAGTGGGCGTGTTGATGACGTTTCTGCGACTGATATGTAAAGCATGGTCCACAGGTACAGGCAGCAGCACCCGCCTGAATGTTCTGCACATTTTCCTGAACACGTCTGACCCGACAATCTCCTCCTTTGTCAGCAGGAATCATTGAGAACTCCTCCTCCTTGTTGCATGCAACCATGATGTTTTTCAGGCAATTAATCAATGTGACTTTGTTAAATCACAGGTGACGCAGATGATTTCTGATGTTGTAAGAAACCTAAACCGCTTTAAATCATCTACTAGTCAATTTTCTTTCTGTGCTGACAAGTCTAACATCAGGACTTCTGGTTTTTATTATTCTCAACGGCTACAACATGCAAAAACTCCACAGTTTGTCTCGCATGAATCTCTACTCCTGTGTTTGTCATTTAAATCTGACAGTTCAGTGGTAAGAGAACTGAATTCTCCTACATTTCTACTTTATCTGCCCTCAGAGGCAGTTGGTATTTCTACAGTACAATCTTTTTTAACAGGCATGAAGCTGCCGACATGTTGCCAGGTGTCTCCGCTGCACGCCTCTGCCAGCCCTGCTTTCAGTTAGACCTCCGTGTTTGTTTGACTCTCTCCGACAACAAGGTCAGTGGCATTGCCCAGTAATTGTCCTAACGGCCTGTATACCTGTTGGGTGGAGGCGAGTAATGAGAGTTTTTCATTACGGGCGGGACGGGTGAGTGCGCCTGGCAGATGCTGACAGGCAGCAGATGTGTAAAGTTGGGGGTGATTTGTAAAGGGGGTCAACTGCATCACAGAGGAGATGGAGGGCGATGTGGGGCGGGGGTAAATTATGCTGAGGGACACTGTCAGTCATGCTGCACCCCTGTCACGGCAAGGTAAAGGTCAGTTCAAACACAGGCGCTCAGCACAGCTCGGTCATGTCAGCAAACTTTCTACCACGTACAAACTGGAGATGTTTAGTTCAAGTCTTTAATCCTTTTATTGAATCTGTTTTCCTGTTTCACAAATATGTGGAAAATCAATATATATTATCTGTGATCAGTACGAGGCTCTTTAATGTTTGAAGTCAAAGTTTTCTTCGTTCTGCTCGGAGGATCAGATGTGCTCCTAAAAAACTTGCCATCATGCAACTGAAGGAAAACAGTCATTTGATCTAAATTCTGCCTCTTTAATGACACACACAATATGCAGTGACTTCCTCAGGCGTTACATTTTGCAGGAATGAATGGATCCAGAAATCAATGAAAAAGATCCTCAGTTTTGTGGCAGCTCTGGGCAACTGACCAAGAATCAAAACATTTGATTTAGTCCCATTCCTTAAACTCAACCTGAGTCTTAAAGTTTTTTTCCGCCTCTGTATGTTAACAATTAGGATTAGAAACCTGTATCTACCACCAATGTGTACAGGTGAGATGCGTAATGTGGCCTGAGCTGTAAGGCCTGTTTTAATTCAAAGGGACTGTTGGGTGTTGTTGGACGTATGCACTCAACTGTGTCCTCTAGTATAAACACAGCCAGGTCATTAAAATATTATAAGTAAGGATTCATCTTTGTGAAAGTTTATGGAAAGATTAAGGCACCAGGACAAAGCTCTGCTAACTTGGCCTAATGTCTGATGGAGACCTTCAGATCATTCAGTCTTTAAATTAGACCACACAGGTATTTTGGTGGGTCTGTTTTGTCCACATGATCCCAGCCACAGTGAGGTGAGTGTTGCGAGCGCACGTAACAACAACGACCGGAACAAAATGCACAGAAAGAGCTGCAGCTGCCTGTTTTACACACGGCTGAGGCCTATGGCTGCGTGGTCCCCGGCATCTGCACACGGCGCACTGTCACTCAACGCGGGCATTGATTAGCCATTGTTCTGAGAAGGTCACATCATAATTCATTAACAATAATTAGTCCCGCAGTGCCACCTGCACTCCTTCTCCCGATTGCCCGGTTAAATTACGAGCAACCATCACGGTTCACGCGTGGAACAATGAAGATGTATCCGCAACGTAAAGGCAAGAGCTATTAGTTACATTATTTAAATGGACCCGTTTAAACCTGGGGAGCTGTCTTTATGAAGGGCAATTAGGCACTAACCGTAATTGATAATTCGTGCTAATTACAATTAGGAAATATAAATAGTGGGTGTAGGATTAATCATCATTGTGGTTAAGCGGGGAGCAGCCATGGTGCAGACCGGGGAGGTGTGATGGAAGCCAATGGATTATGCCCCATTCATCTCCATCTAGTGCAGAAACAGATTGTGTTTGTCCCTTTATATTTCTCCATTGACTGTTATCTCTTTTTTGTTTCGGTGCCCTTGCC